AACAACTATTTATTTAAGTTTCACAAAAAAAAGTTTAACAAAGTTTTGATTGAATTAACAAATGAGACGTAAGTTGTAGTCCAGTATTGAGTCAATGAATATTCAATGAAATATAAATCCGACAAACATTTCATCATTTCGTGAAAGCATTTAATTGCGAGTCAAGCCTTCAGTCAAACCATAGGTCCGTAAGATTTTGAGTGCAATCGTAACGTAATAGCCGTCTGAAAATGAGCACAAATCAGGTCCAGTTCCTCACCGAAAGGGAGTATCGGAAGGGAACGACTATTAACGTGGACTTCAAGATCGGTCAGTCCATCACTCCGGACGCTACCCATGAGATCGTGTTGTATGAGCTCCTGGAGTGTGGGTACGGCCTGTCGACTAGAGCTGTGAGAGGTGTCCACAAAGGGGTCATACAGTATGGCAAACGTGTGACCAACTGGTGGCGAGTGGTGTTCCAGTCGCACGACATCCCTCAAGACCTGGGACAGGGATGGTATGGATATAATGATAGGTACACCGGTCAGTACCAGTGGGTCTACCGGCGCCAAATGGGCCGCTATCGCAAGCATGACATCCTCGGCCGCTCTGGCCCTTTTCAGTTTGTTTAGGGGACTGGCATTCACACGACTGTCCACTCGAGCATTGATTATGCCTTGATTTTAAAGTTGTTTTTTGTTTGAATTAATATTGTTTTTGACATTTAATACAATTGTTTGATATAATTATGGCTCAATTAGAAATATGTTTACTATTATTATGAATCATAATTTATGATAATTACTGATTATTTGTTATATTATTATGTAATCAATGCTTTGAATAATTTTGTTTGTTTTAAACTTTTATATTTTTGTTTGATTTTAATTCCCGTATATTAATAACAGCAAATAAAAACTTTTAAAAATAATTTCTTTTCATTTCACTTGTGTTTTATGAGATCTCGGGAACTGATTGAGTGGACAACTCGTGAATCATTTGCTGAGACAGTGGTCTGAATCCTAGATTCGTGGACAAGGATTGAGACAATTTTGATGTCATTTTCAAACTTAATGTGAATTTCAAGAATCAATTCTTTCGATTCCTATCCATTAGAAGTTAAGCTTATTTTAAAACTCATATTTAATGTAAGAATAATAATACAGAATATAATTATACAATTAGTATTATGAATATGTGATACATTGCATGACTAATACAATAATAATTTGTAGATTTTCAATTACTTGCTTATTAAAAATAAATGTTTAAATGCAGTAATAAGCTAACGATTAATTAATAAAAATTTGAATTAAAAACTAAAACACAAAATAAGAGAATGTTTAGAAAATAAATTCATAAATAAATAAGTTTTTATTAGGGAACAATTTTAATTGAATACAAAGATTATGAATGAAAATAAATTAAATCGATTGGGAAAAACAAATCAAAGTATGAATTCAAATCAAATTCAATTATAATTTATTTCATTCGATATTTCATTGACTCAATACTGGACTACAACTTACGTGTCATTTGAATGCGAAGAGTATAGTGTTTATGATTAATTAAATGTTAGACATAATAGCAGTCATTATGTGATAATAAAACTAGAGTTCATGCAAACTATTGTTACCATTAAATATGATATGAAATAACTCTTTAGAGTCTAATATTTATTCTAATATTATGTCATAATTATGTCATAATATTATGTCATAATATTTTTAATAATAATAAATAATAAATAATAAATCAATAATAAATATTTTTAAATCATCACTAACAAGTCTAAAGTTTAGATCTGTATCTGAATACTCTGAATCTGAATCAAAGATTAGTCTATATCTGAATACTCGAGTACTTTCGGTCCTAATCGGAGCATTCGTCACGAGTTATTACAAAATAATGAGTAAAAAATGAATTAAAACTTTTCAAAACTAAACAATAGACAAATCACGAGATCTTATCAATAACTAAACTCCATAACAATAACTATTGTTACCATTAATTCAAAGCAATTATTTATTTAAGGTTCACAAAAGTTTAACAAAGTTTTCATTGAAATTCAATCATTGAATAAACAAATGAGAAGTAAGTTATAGTCCAAGTGATGAGTGAATGAAAAATAACTGCAAATTGAAATAAAAATCATAAAAAGCATTCATTTGGTGAAAGCATTTGATTGCGAGTTAAGCCTTCAGTGAAACCACTCGTGTCTATAACCCGTAAGACTTTGAGCGCAACCATAAAAGCCATCAGAAAATGAACGAAGAAAAGGTGAAGTTCCTGACCAAGAGCTCGGAGTACCCGAGGGGGTGGCCATCACCGTGGAGTTCATGACCCACCCGTGCCTCGTGCTCACCGACACCCATGAGATCGTATTGTGTGAACTGAATGAGGAAGACGAGTGTTGGCTACGAAAGGACGTACGAAAGGCTACGTCTGTCAGCAAAAGTATCATCACGAATGGCCAACGTGTCGGTCACAACCGTTGGAAAGTGGTGTTCAGTCCCCACCACTTCATCAATTATCTCAACGCTAACTACACTAAGCACTGGGATAGGAGTGACGGCCTATATGTGTGGGTCTACCGGCGCCGTGTTGGCCCCCATAATCAGCACCAAATCATAGGCGAGTCCAAGCAGTTTAAGCTGCTGTAAGGGCACAGACACTTACATACGACTGTCCACTCGTGTATTCATTACTACTTATCATTTGATTTAGAAATTGTTTTTTCATTCATATTTCATATTTTTACCGTTTAATACAAATTGTTTGATATAATTATGACTTAATTACTGATTATTTGTGAAATTATTATGTAATCAATGCTTTGATTTATGTTTTTTGTGTGGATTTAGTTTTCTAACATTTAATATAATTATTTGATTTAATTTTCATTTACAGTTAACTGTAAAACCCTATACTTACTGTATTATCGCATAAATAACCGATTGTTTTGTGAAATTAATGTGTAATCAATGCTGACATATAATCATTTTTGTAATTCATTTTGTTATAAATAAACTAATTGTGTGCTCAAAATCATTAAGTTTTAATAGTTTTATAATTTAATAAGTTTTTTAACAGTTTTTAACCAAACCCTCCACCCTCACCCTTATAAACATCGTAACACTATTTAAGGATTACTCACATGTCCAAAATGTCACGCCTTTTATGAGTAGTGCCGCGCAAACACGTGCTTAATGTTTACGTTCAGAAGTTGTGGTGATGTTTGGGACCAAATGCGGACAATTGGTGGCCAAATGCGTGGCACACAGTCTGCGCACTCAACTCAGACACAAGTCCTACGACCTGTCATCACATAAATTAAGACAATTCTTGTCGCAAAACAGTCTTCGAGTGTCTGTACCGGCGATGAAGACCTACGAGTCCACTGAACACGAGTTGAATGAACTGATGGCACACATGGATGAGCAACACGTGGACAAAGAGCTCCGGGATCTCATGGACACCGAACGCCACGAACTCACTGATCGCATGAGACAACTGGTGGACAGTATGATAAGCGACGCCATGTTTACCGCCGATGACCGCCATATATCTGAGTGCTGTCTGGACGTGAACTGCGGTGTCGGCGGTCAGGAGGCGATGCTATTCACCAAAGAGCTGCTCGACGTGTATGTCATGCTCTGCGATCACCAGCGCTGGAAGTACTCGATGGTGGCCAACGACTGCGACACCGACTTCGGAGGCACCCGACACTCGTCGCTCATTATATCGGGAACTGATTGCTACAGACTTTTGCGACACGAGGCGGGCGTACATCGGGTCCAGAGGGTGAGTGTGTCTGACATTTAAAGACATTATCATTGAGTACTAATTGTCTGTGTTTTGTTTGGCATTAGTTCCCGAAGACTGATCGACATAGAGTGCACACATCGACCGCAACGGTATCAGTGATACCCGTCCGGCACGACGTGATTGACATCAAAGACAGTGATCTGGTGTTTAAGATGACGACATCGCAGGGCGCCGGCGGTCAGCACGTGAACCGTACGCTGACGTGCGTACGGGTGACCCATACGCCCACCGGTGTGTCCACCGAGTGTCAGGAGACCCGAAGTCAGCTCCAGAACAAAGACATTGCGTTACGGAAACTGAAGGCTATTATCAATGAAATGGCGTACGAGAAGAAGCGCACGGAAGAGGTGACGACTAAGAGGGCACAGGTAGGCATCGCCGCCCGCAGTGATAAGATCAGGACCTATAACTTCCCGCAGAATCGCATTACTGACCACCGATTGGGTGATGATATCCACGATATCGAGGTCTTCATGAAAGGCGGTTCCGAGAAGTTGTTGTACTTCTTGAATAAATTAGAGGATCAGAGACAGAGATTAGTGTTGAGTAGGATTAGCGCCGATTTGGATCAGTTCTTGAGCTGATTGTCTCATTACTTAATGATAATTAGTTTTTGTATTTTATATTTGTTAGCATTTTGTTGAATAAATTTATTTATAAATAAATGATTTTTGTTGTGTTAATTGAGTTGATTTTGTAATTATTAAGATATAGTGTATGGAAAGTACAGTACATTCAGTAGATTCTGTACTATTTCATTGTAGGAAAGGTATGTTTTATGTTTCACATACCGGTTCCTTATTACCATCCCCTCTATGCACTTGTAAATCATTGTAATTAGACTTTTATGCGATTTCTACGAGTGTTTGAATTTCGTAAAGTTTTAGAAATAGTTTTATCAAAACAGTAAAGTAATTATTTTTTAAATTATAATAATTATTATACGGTGAGCCTTTTGTTATAAAATCATAATAATTGTGATTACCGTAAGTGTTATCTCGAAAGTCATAAAACTTTGTGAGCGTTTGATTGCATCTGTAGATGAAAATCAAGTTTTTTTAATACATTTTAAGGACTTATTCACCACTACTTTCGACATAACATACTGTACACGGAGTGCGAGTGTTTTCTATGCATTAATTACTATTAAAACCTTGAAAGTTGATATGACATTGAACTGGAAGTTTGGGTTTTATATTTATAATGAAGTTTTTTTTGTTGAACAAAACTTATCTCAAGTTTGTGTTTCATTCAAATGCTTAAGACATTAGTGAATTCACTACAAATTTGGTAATTATTGTGTGATTTATACGTCAATTGATTTGTGAATGAATCATATTTTTTGGTGTTATTTGTAAATATTTTTAATTTACAAAAATGAGTGAAATATTCTTATGGTTTGAACTCAATGTACCGTAAGATTGTGTTTAATACTAATAATTATTATTTATATTGTTTTATAATGTGTTACTTAATTAATTGTACTTAATTGTGTAGTGGTTTTTATTTTTTTATGCACTTTTTGTATGTCTTTTCCACGTTTTATTGGATTTGTTTAATCAGATTTTCTTTTGTGTATATTACCGTAAATTGTTTTGAATGACATTTGATATGAATATCGTATTTATTGTTTGAATTTTGTGTGATATTTTAAGTAGTGTTTAGTTTTGAAATGAATTTTGCTTTAAATGTAAGTATATTTGTTGAGTATTCTCATCAAAATATTTTCTTGTAATTTAAATATAGTAATAAATTATTAGTAATAATCATTACTTTCAATTAGTTAACAAAATTTCCTTAAACTTTTGATGTGATAGTATATTAAGTTATATTGAGTTTGCCTAAAATCAATGCCAAAAAGTTGTTTATATTGATTTCATATGTATTACTGTTATAAATATATTTTTAATTATGTCTGCATTAATCACTCGAAGTATTTATATTTCAACACAACTACCCTATCATTTGCAGTCAATTCTTGGGTTTTATAATTCATTTATTGCTAACTCGACAGCTAAAGTCATAAATATTGCGATTAATGCATTGAATATACAGTACCAGTATGTAATATAATTTGTATTACAATATATTGTTTATATTCTTAACAATATCCTGAAATACTTATAATAATTCTATACTTAAGTATATTCGTAACTATAGTAAATTAGTTTGAACATTATTCATATTAGATGTTGTCAAAAATAATTTTTAATAATTAATATGATCTACTAATACAACTCGTGGGAAATCATACCGGTACGTGTACCTATTGATTAATTACTTTTATAATTATTTACAAAATTTAATGATTTATATACAATAATAAATATCTCAATATTAAGTACTATCATATGGCAAGTTATATTTAGAATTGTAATAATTATATACTGAATTTATAATACAATACAATAATTAATTAGTTTGAACAATTGGTGTAAGTGTCAGTGCCTTTTTATCCCTTTTAATAATTATTTATTAGTAATTTTATACCAGTTTTCCTCTCATAACACCTACTCATTAATATACAGTTAATTTTAAAGAAAATCACATTTATTGTATTAAACATGAACTATTTAATCATTAATTAAATTTTAATGTCATGTCAATTATAGTTTACTGAAATGCTGTGATTAATATGATTTGGCACATATTTTCTAATGTAATATTTATAGTGTAAACCAATGTTTATAATTTTCAAATTTCAATACAGTATTTCAATTACTGATATGTATTTTTAGATTAAATGTAAACCAATTCTGGTCCGTTAAGAATGAAAGTAATATTTATTATTATTCAAAATAGTTTCCATATTTATGTCTCCGATAACTATTAAAAACATTTGTATGTTTATATAGATTTACGAGGATGAGTTTCAAATATTTTCCACACATGGGATAAATATTACTGTATTGTTATATTATATGAGCTAGGGACAACCATAGTAACGTTAGCTATTTTTATTAATACTTTAAAATCCAGTAATATTTTAACCTGATAAGTTATAATACTACTCGTTTACCGTAAANTATGAGCTAGGGACAACCATAGTAACGTTAGCTATTTTTATTAATACTTTAAAATCCAGTAATATTTTAACCTGATAAGTTATAATACTACTCGTTTACCGTAAACCTATGAATATTTTATGAATAATTGACTTTTGTATAAAATTAATAATTAGATTTAATAAATATAAAATAGCTAACGTTACTATGGTTGTCCCTAGCTCATAATATAAATTAGACTATTACTCTGAATTATTTATATTCAGTATATTATTACACAAACGACTTTCAAATAATAATTAGGCACTGAATTCATAATAAATGAGACATTTGTTTCCTTTCAGACTTATTACATGTTATAAAAATTAAATGTTTTGTTAAAATGCATAGAGTTACTGTATAGTACTGTATATGCAAAAGGATATCCACACTATGTTTGCATAACAACTCACGAGTCAGTGAAAGAGTATTTTATTTTTAGCATCTCGTTTACTGTACTATTTTACATTTGAAAGTATGAAATAAAAGTAATCTGTTTTTAAAGTTATTTTAAATATTCTGTACGATGTTAACTGTATATAAGTAAATGAAAACACAAAACATATTTATTCACTTCATTTACAGTGTGACATTCAGACCAGGTTTAAATAAACTATTATTAATAATTTCCATGTATACGGGTCGCATGAATCGCCTATTATATTTGAATATTGTGTTGAACAATTGATGAATCATTTATTTATTTTTATACTCCAAGTGTTCATACGTTTACACATTAACGTTAATGAATCTATTAATGTCTGTAACGATTAAAACATCTAACATTTGTTATGCCTGTGAGTACTGTACAAGAGTTTTGAACTCAAACTTATGTCCAAAATAGTCACCCTTTTGCCCCTAAGCCATATCAACCCATCCCAATGTGAACCACAGATACTGAACCCTATTTACATCGAAAACCTAAAAGTTAAGACTTTTATGACCCCTTTTTCTCATGCGAAACAGTATCGACAGCACCGGTATGTTGAACACACACTCTCTCCTCACCACTCACTGAACAGTTAGTTCAGGAATTTTGTATTTGAAATGATATACCGTTCGCACAAATAAATATTTTCAAAATTATTCAGAAATTTTGTTTGATTTTAAGTTTGTATTTTGTTTTATATTGTGCTATCACTGAATATACCTAAGAACCCGAAGTCAACTGATCCAACCCTCACCACTCGCCTCCCCGCATATGACAATATTTTCAGCTTTCATTTAAATGTGTTTTAGTAAATGAAGTAATTTTCGTCACTTGTATTGAATGTGAAATAATAGGCGCTAAGAATCGGAGCAATGGTTTGAATTAAAACAACAAATATATTGAGCGATGAATTGCATAACGATAGAAGAGATACCGTTTCAGTCGGTCGCCGGTCCCGACAATAATGGAGTCAATACTATGATCTCAAACGGCGTTTATCTGAACGATCGCCAGAAGCGGATTGACTTTGTGTTAGTCTTCCGGACCAAAGACGTCAAGTTATCGGAGGATATGTCGAAATCGCG